GCCGCGGGTGGGTGATCTGGCCTGGGAGACGCGTGATCACCGAGGGCGCCGCTCTCCATGACGGCGCCTCCATAGGGCCATGCCCAGGGTGTACGTGCCTAAGGAAGGGCGTGAGCCAATACGTCGAGGGCAGTAACTGGGCCTCTGAGTGGCTCCCGGCCGCCAGCCGCCCCTCCTGCAGGGAGGCAGCCGTTTAGGGGAGATCACTCTCCATTTCTCTCCTTTGCACCAAGGAAACTGAGGCCTGGTGGGGCGGGGGGAGTGGAATCCCCAAAACCTCCAAGTGACTCAGTAGCCGCCGCTGTCCTTGAACTGGCGCGTGTGCCTGTGGATTCCCTCCTGGACCCGCCTCCCCCAGGATGCAGCACGGAGAGCAGCTGGGCTGGGCCCTGTTCCCTGGGGGACACGGATTTCTAGGGGAGTCAGGAACGTGTTCCTTCTGCCAGTAGGTGACACTGTGTCTTCCTATTTAATTTTTCTGAATAGATGTGCAGGCCCATGCGCGACGTCCAGAGGGTTTGTGTTGAAAGTTAGGTCTCACCCCTCCCACCCCCTGCGCCCCCCGCCTCTCCCTGGAGCAGCCAGTGCAGCCGGCGCTGCGATCCTGCATCCTCCTACGCATCTGTGCTCAGACACTCGCTTGTGGCTTCGGCCGCCTGTTCAGCAGCAGCTGAGCATTTGCTGTGTGCCAGGCTCCGCGGTAGGCACGGGGGTGAAGCAGCAGCACAAAGATCGTGTCCTCCACGCGACAGCCAGTGAGCCCCCACCCCCGGCCAGGAGCAGGCAGAGCTCTGCACTTCTCTTAAACCTTCATTTTAGCCCTCGAGAGAGTTCCTTATGGGCCCGCGGAGAGGTGCCGCCTTCTTCCCGTTGAAGGGGCTGCGTGTGGTTGAGCAGCCAGGCCGCCATTTATTTGGCCAGTTCCCGACTGATGGGGCATCGGATGGCCTCTGTGGTGGATTTCAGCTGTCACAAGCGATGCTGCCAGGTCCTGGCACACGCTTCTTTTCTGTGTGTGGAGAGTAATCTATAATTTGTTGGCCCATGTGGTGAACATCCAGAGAGGTTGGCGTTCAGGTGCGGCTGTATCCAGGTGTGTCGGCTGAGTCATTTGGAATACTCTCTCAGTCCTGTTTTGGTTCTGTTGGCTGTCTCCCCTCCTCTGCCCTGCCCTTCCCTTCCCTTCTCCGGAATAGGAAACCTTATTAGCGTTGTGTTTAACAGCATCACTTGCACAGCTCCAATGTGCCAGATGTCCTTGGTGCTGGGGACACAGCGAGGAAGAAAACATGCCCAGGTCTGGTCCTCACAAGCCGACGTTCCCCAAATGTGCCAGACGGTTCAGTTTTATGTCCTCCCCCTTCCCCCGCAAGGACCCTGGGGAAGGGGATCCTCAGCCTGCTGGGATCATCTCCTCACTCAGAATCCTTCCTGTGGTTCCGCCGCAGCCCCCTGTGCTGCAGGAGGGGCCGTGTCCCGGAGGGCCGCATTCTGTCCACCACAGCGCCCTCAGCGTCGTTTTAGTCAGGTCATTATCTAGCGCCTGCGTCACCATTTTAAATGTACCATTTTCTAGCCTTTTAAAGCACAGGTACATGGATTCTCAGAGGGAAACCAAAGAGGGCCCTGATCTCCCTGCCCGGATAAGCCCAAGAGATCCGTTTTTCCTGTTTTGACATTTAAACAGAAAATGCAAGGAATATCACAGAGGGATGAAAAATGCAAACAACAGAGTGATACCAAAATGAAAAGTTTAAGCCACTCCCCGACTCTCCTGCCCCCACATAATCTCCATCCAAAGTAGCTACTTTACACTTTCGGGGGGGTTTTCCAGAAGAAAAAAAAAGCATGTGAGAACTAGAATACATGCGTCTAAAAACCACTCGTGATCGTACTGCCACGCCGCCCGCCTTTTCATAGTATTCGATACCTTTTAGCGCCCCTTGTCTCAGCACAGAGACCCCTTTCTCCTGTAAGGCGCCGCGGGCTCCCCTGGAGGGCCACGTGTTCTTTCTCTCCCTGGCGCTGGTCCCCCGAGGCCGGCAGCTGCGTGTTTGCCGGTGCGGGCTGTGCTGTCGGGACCCTTGGCCTGCACGTCAGGGCTCGGCCTGCAGTGCTGCGCCCGGGCTCCCAGCAGCGGGGCCGTCTGTGCCGCCGGCCGTCCTGGGTCTGGCGACCGAGGCAGTTCTGCGGCACTCCCGGATACCCCCCCCCCCCCAGCCCTGCTGGCGGCGACCGAGTCCCCTGGCGTTGCCCGGCGTGTCTGGGGAAATCGCCCGCCTTGGTGGGTGGGTGGACCCCAGTTTAGGGGGCGGGGTGCATTCAGAGTCCATGGGAGGAGGGAAAGGGCCACTCACTGTACCTTGGGGTTGGCGGTGCTGAGCGCTGAGCGTGCTGAGGCTCCGGGTTCAGAGGTGATCGGCACATTGCTGGGCCCAGAGAGACTGTGTCCCAGCTCTGTCTGGTTTGGTCTGGAAAGTTCTGTGGGTGATACCCCCCGGCTCAGCAGTCTTGGCTTTTCCCGTCCTGGCCAAGTGTCCTGATCTCTGCTCCGTGGCCGAGGTGTTCATGTTGCTGCCTTTATTCACTCAGAAGCCTGAAACAAGCACGTAACAGCATGACCCTCTTCTTGGGGGAAACAAGGGTAGCAGAAGGTCTCCCCAAAGCTGTGGCCCGGGATTGTGCGACTTTACTTATATTAATCAGTTTAATCCTCACCATCCTGTCTGCTGTTATCCTGACCTCCATTTTTTCAGGGTAAACTGAGGCTCAGAGAGGGTATATGGCTTGGCTTGGGCCCTGTCAGCGTGAAGTGAGGAGCCGCCGTCTGAACCAGAGAGAATAGCGCTGGCCTGGGTGCCCTCAGCTGGTGCTCGGACCAGACCATTCAACAGCAGCTCAGGCAGGTAACAGCACCTGCCTGCCACCTACCGGGCTCTGGCCTGGGTGCTGCACACAGGGAAGGCCTTCAGTCCTCACAGCAGGCCTGAGAAGCAGGGGCTGCCATCACTCTCTTTGTGCAGAGAGCCGAGGCACAGAGAGGTTGAGGCACTCAGCTGAGGCCACGCAGTGCACACGTGACCTGGAACCGATCAGAACCCTCCTGCGAGCAGGACTCCTAGTCACAGCAGCCTCAGCTGCTGTCACCTTGGAAAAATCCCCTAGAATCTTGGAGAATTTATTCCCTAGTTGTGTTGTTGACATATCTGGGTGCTCTTTGCTCCCCAGTTATAATCCATCATGCTCTATGTCCCCATTAAATCAAAGATCTCCCCTACAGTAAGAGGAGGCCTGCGTAAGCCATGTCTGTTTTTCTAGTTGGTGATTGTTTCTTCGTTAGAATCCACAAAGCTGATGTGTTTTAAAACCCCAAACTGGAACGAGATGAAAGCCTCCCCGAATCTTGGCTGGCATTGGGCCGTAATTCATTCAAGTAGCTCGTTATGTATCAGAGTCACCCCAGCTTCTGAGCAGCAGGCAATTCTGCAGTTTCAGTTTCAGCTTTCTGTTCTTACTGATTCTTGAAGCCTTGCTATCTTGAAAATGATGAAATATTCCAGGCACACAAGGAGCGACAGAGAATATTTTAATGAACACCCTGTGTCCACTGCCCAACAGGAGAAGTGAAACAGGACAGTCACAATTGATGCTTTTCTATACTCCTTTCAGGTTGCATTTATTTCTCCTTCCCCAAGGGAATTTGCCATCTGACTTTAGCATGCGTTCTTAAATTTGCTCTCCGTGCCTGTGACCATGAACTACCGAAAGCATTGTGCATGTTTACAAATGATATAAATAGCATCTCACTACACGCACCTACACACATCCTCTGAATGTGTCTTGCCTGCTATGTTTGCGGGATTCATCCATGCACATTACTGTGGGTTTTTCCACTGCTGCGTAGTATTCCAGTGTATCATCACGTGCTGCTGAGCAACAGGGATGGGTGCTGAGAAACGCCGCCTTAGGTGACCTCGCCATCGTACAAAGGCCACAGAGTGTAGTTTCATATATCCAGGTGGTCCAGCCTACGATGTGCCTAGGTCGGGTGGTGGAGCCTGTGGGATCACCCTTGTCTGCGTGTCCCTTCTTGACTAAAATGTCATTGATCGACACGTGGCTGCCTGTCACACCGTATTACTCACCTGTCCTGCTGAAGGGCATTTAGGCTTCATGCCGCTTTCTGCAGTGGATGTTCGCATCCGTCGTCTTACATACAGGTGGCAGGGGTTTCTCCGGAGGGTGTACCTAGGAGCAGAGTGCCGGGCTTCAGGGCAGGTGTGGTTGACAGAGGATGGCCTCCAGTGTCCCCGCTCTGTGATGCGCGTGCCCTGTGTGGCACCCGGGACGGTGACGGCGAAGGGTGCTGCTCCCCAGAGGGTTGTGTTTGATGCTTGGCAGACCTGGAGAGAGGACAGTATCCCGGTGGGCCTGGCCTTGCGGAGAGCCCTTTCAGTCAGGGTCTGGTGCTTCAGAGACTGAGAAATTGGAGATGCAGAGTTACCGCCTGGTTTGCCACAAGGGAGATTCTCCGTCTCTGGCTCCATCTTCTGATGCGGGAGCCTGAAGCGCAGGACGCAGTTGAGCTTGAAGGGCTGAGAGCAGCCCGGCCGATGGTCACAGGGAACTGGACTTTGCCAATAGGCTGAACGAGCTTGCAGGAGGCCCTGAGCTCCAGTTAATAAGCACACAACTCCGCTGACGTTGCTTCCATCCTCCTGAAAACCTGGACACTCACCCCACGCTGGCACTTCTGCGCTTTTTTCTTTTTTTTGACTGTGGTTAAATTGAACATTTTTAAGTGGACCATTCAGTCGCATTAAGTCCATTCGCATCTACCGCCATCACCATCCATCCCGAGAACGTGTTTATCTTCCCACTGAGTCTCTCCCCATTAAAATCTACTTGGTTTTAAGTTGCTACATTTGCGGCCATTTGTAAACAGTGATAGAAAATGCTACAGTGTCCAAAGCTCTTTGTTTTTTTTTTTTTTTAAACAGGTATGGTTTCCCAGAGCAGTGGTACTGGTGGGCCCAGGCTGGGCATCCCTGTCAAGTCTTCCCAGGGTGCGTCTATTACCAGCACATCAGAGAGGAATGAAAATAGCTCAACCTTTGTTACATTCTCCTGCGGCATTTCCATGCAGGTAGCAACTTTGGGAGGAAATGGAAATAGTTTCTAACTAGATTAGATCTTCTAATCCCCCCCCCATTATGTATAAAATTTGTTGCTTAGAAACAATTTTATTCTCTATTTTATTTTTTAAATTTCTGTGACACATGGGTGGTGGGGGGAGATGTTAGGTGTTCGCTTGAAAGGTTTTATGAGCTGGAACAAATGTGAAATGTTTCCCTTTTCTCTTGCTTTGGAACTGTAGCCAGGGGAGATCTGATTTTTCTTTTTCACTGTATTGGCTGTTGCTGGTTGTAAGAGCAAGGTCAATGGAAGGACCGTGATGATGTGATGAGACACTCAGAGCAGTGGCTGGGAATCCTTTGTTTTCAATGACAGAGACTCCTCCCAAAGCCAGCTTTTAAGGAAAGAAGATGGGCTCAGAAAAATGTGTATCTGGAAGGAACAACTTCAGGAGTGGCTGGATCCAGGGGCTCAAGCGAGGTCATCAGGATTTGGTTCCTTTCCAATCCTTAGCTCCCTGTTGGCCTCTTTCTTTGGCTGGTCAGCTGGCCTCCCTCCCTCCCTCCTTTTCCTTTCCTTTCCTTTAAAAATATTTATTTATTTATGCATACAAGAACTGGGGTACAGACTAGAGGTGTGGGGGGGTGAGAGAATTTACCAGAGACAGAGCAGGGAACAGAACAGGCAGATGGACCGAAGACACTGCTGAGGGGAGCAGTGGGCGAGTCAGGAGAGGTCTGCTGCGCCATGAGGGTTGCCCTCTGACTGGCCGGGGATCGAACTTGCACTGCAGAGGCTGCGGACAGCTGCATAGGTTGTGTCTTCACCCCTTGCGCCACCAGGGAGGCCCTGCCCTTTCAAGGCCAAATTGTGGCAATCTAGGTCCATGCCAGTCTTAGTGTTGGCGATGGCAAGAGAGCGACTCTTTTTCCATTCCAGCATAAGTGAGAAGTTGACTCTCACTGGGTTTTTGGGGTATCACACACTTGCCTCTGAATTATTACTGTGGCCAGACATTTGGGCAGGGTTGATTGGCTGGAGTTGGGCATATGTTAGCCAAGCCAAAGGGGACTTCAGGATTGTTAGCGAGTGTTTGGGAGGAGGCGATGGGCCATGCGAGGATGAAGCTGGAGCCCTTCCAGCAGGGGGATGGGCTCAGTTCTTTGGCAAACTGGGGAGCTCTGTGTGGTGGCCTCTGTCTGGGCCTGCGGGGCCTTCTTGTGGACACATAACTCACTCATTGAAGGCATGAGAGAAAGTAACAGTGGTGAGGTACGATTTTGGGGGACAAATCCATCAGGATCCTTGTCCCCTCATCCTCCCTCAAGATGGAGAAGTGCAGGTTTCCCTTGGTGGATCTGTTCCTCTCACGACAGGGCCGTCACTCTGCGCCGGCTCACGGGCAGGGATCCTTCCCGTGAAAAACTGAAAAACTAGGCCATGTTTTGGACACTCCTCTCCCAAGAGAGGTGGCGTGTGTCCCCTCCTGCTGGCTGCTTCCACCCGTCACTGGAAGAAACGCCAGGTGACTGCTGAGACGCGGCCCTTAAAGGTCGAGCCGCCTAGTTCTCGTGAACATTCTCTCTTGGGAGACTTCTCAGCCCAGTCACCAAGCCATGGGGAGGCCACACGGGGGCTCTAGGATTGACAGCTGAGCCCAGGCTGTCGGCCCCCCAAGACCAAGCGTCAGATGTGAACAGAAGAGCCTCTGGTGAAGCAAGTCCACTCAGAGTTGGCCCCGCTGCTCCAAGCTCCCAGCCAGGCCTCCGCCACTCCTTCCGGGGCGGCCTCCTACGCAGCCAGTGGCCGGCACAGGTGCGCTTGCGTCGCTGTGGACAAGGCAAGGCAGGAACAGCTGAGACGCATGCGGCTTGACCCGTCATCCTGCTGTGGGAGCGCTAACCAAAGCAAATAATCTCAAGTGTGGAAAAGGGTGGCGCACAGAGAGGCCCACGACACTGTACAGCGACAGCACGTTGGAAACAGCTGGCTTTCCTGGTGACGGGGATTTGATCCCTTGATGAGATAGTTAGGGCTGCCCCGAGCGCCGGATTCCTGCCCCGCGCTGGGCAAGGGCTGCCTGTGACCATCTTTCATCCGTCCAGCAACCTTTGGAGCAGGAATTATGGCCCCAATTGCCCACCACAGAGTGTGGAGATGGAGGCTTAAAGGCTTATCCCCTCCCCGAGGCTGCGAGTAGCTGTCCTGCTGACTCCAGCCACACGGTTCAGAATGTACCTCTTCTGGCTTCAGGCAGGACAATGATCCAGTGAATCTGTGGTGAGGCCTCTGAGCGGCGCGTTAGGGTGTGTTTGCAAATGATACGTATGAGGAGTTTTTAATAATAGGAGCGAGTGTTCACGCTAAGGTAAGTGGGAGGAAATACGCGGAACAAAAGCTGTGTATACAATGAGATCCAGTGGATAGAAGCCACACGCAGAGGCAGCCCAGGGAGAAGGCAGAACCCGACCCGCGAGGTGGCCCCGGGTGCAGGCGAGCCCCAGGCTTCTCGCGTTTCCCACTTTTCTTCCAGAAACAAATGCTGCAGAGAAGCACAGAAAGGAAGCAAGCAGAAGCCAGGACAGGCAAGGCGATGGTGCACGGGTGACGAAAGAGCTAACTCTTGGTAGTTGAAAACAAAAGCCCACCGCACTGACAGTTGCTCCTGCCTGGCCCTGAAGGGAAGTTGCCGGGAGACTCGGGCGGCTGCACGGAGCGGGGACACGGCGCTCGGCAGGGACAGGGGCGCTCCTGGAAGGTCTGCTTGCGTCTCCTGCCCAGGGAGCTGCCGGCATGTGGGCGTGCAGTGTGATGGGCAGGAGCGGGGCCAGGGGCAGGTCGGGCCCAGGGGCGGCTGCGTCCTCCAGATCCAAACCTGGGCCTCGGCTCCGCCGTGAGTCAGTGGCTGGACGTGGCTGGGTGCAGCCTTGGCTTTGCCGTCTGTGAAGTGGGACTGCGCGGGGCCTTGGTGCAGGTTCCTGTCCTGCGCAAACGGTGACAGTGTTGCAGGCCCCTAGCCTGTGATGTGGTGGCTGCGCTGATGGCGAGACCGTGTTCTCGGCTGTGTCGGCAGCTGAGTGAGTGGCACCGGCCGCTCACAGAAACCTAACTCGAGCCTCAGTACAGGAGAGCATTTCCTGGTAGCCCCGTGAAAAGGTGAAAAGGAAACGTGACGTTTTAACCGTGTAGTTTATCTAAGCAGTCTGCATGACGTGTGATTCTCCCAGCATGCAGGCGCTACGCGGATGTTGTTGGTGAGAGATTTAACTTTTTTCCACACTGGGCCTTGGACTCTGGCGGAGAATCTCACGTTCACGCACCTCTTGATTTGCACGCTCAGGCCTGGCCCGCAAGGCTGGGTCCCTGTCTAGGTCTCCCAAGGCGGATGGTTGAAGGGGGTTGCATGCCCTTGTCTTTTCGGGAGCGGAGCTGAGTACTGGTTGCAGATGCCAGGGAATTCATTAATGAAATTAAATGCAAGGCACTTTCAGTCTCGTGGTGCAGCGGCCACATCCATGCCACCCAGCCGCGTGCGGGGCCTGTGCCCAGCACAGAGCCTGGCCCACACGCTCCCAGCTGTTTGTTGAACAAATGGGTAGTGGCTGCAAAGTGTCTTTTCAGACAAATCCGTGAGCTCCATGCCAGAAGCACAGAATCAGGCCCAGGCTGTTTGGAGGGCACCAGCCCTCACCAGGCTCCTTGCGCTAAGTCAGGGATCAGAGTAAAAGGAGCCGAGGAAAGCTGTTAAGCCGGCAGCTGGCTGGGTAATCTCTTAACTTTGCGCGGGAGGCCTGCAGGTCACCAGCTGCTGCGGGAGAGGCCCTCCAGCCTGCTGGGTTGGAGCCAGGGTTGACTGTTCCTGAGCTCGTGGGGGCGAGGGCAGCAGCAGCAGCAGCGGGAGAAGCGGCCTGCCTGACCTCTGTGTTCCAGGCCAAGAGGAGGGGTCAGGGAGAGGGACGTGAGGCCGGAAGCTGCTTTGCTGGGGGTGTGGTCTGAGCACGTGGGCCCCTGCTGGTCCTGCCCGGGTCAGCGTGGGTGGCCAGTGTGCAGAGGAGCCAGACAGCCGACGGGGCCAGGAGCTGTGGGGAAACTGAGTCAGCTATCAGCAGGCACCAGACAGCACTGTGACCCCCATATGTAGTCCAAGAGACCCAGCGATTACAGCGGCTCCTGCCCCCAGGTGCCGGTGCGCTTCCAACACAGGGGAGAAAAACCTCTGAGGAAAGACCCAGCAGAATGTCCCCAGGCATCACCTCTGATGGGGTCTTAGCGCAACTGGCTTGTCTGGTGCACTCGGGCACTCCCCCCAGCTGCACAGCCTCTCCGAGCGCCCCCAGAAGGCCAGGAAGCTCGCCCAAGGTGGCACAGCTGGGAGGGGCCGGCCAGGACTTGAACCCTGGCAGTGGACCCAGACCCTACAGCAACTACCGCCCCGGGATCAGCTCAGACTGGTGCTGGGAGACCTGGCCGTGGGGCTTCCTGGTGACCTCTGAGGCGGCTGGTGCCAGCGCACGTTCACGGCATATGAAGAAGAAGGCGTGAGGCCGCCTCCTGGGATGCCGGCTCCGGGGTCTGTAGACAGGCACGGTGTCAGTGCGCAAGTGCGCGTATATGTCGCTTCACTCCGAGAATTTCTTTAGTTGTGACTCAGGTGTCGACAGCGTCTCAGAGAAGGTGTCTCTGTCTGTCAGGGTGACGTGACGAGCCAGGCCCTGGGCTGAGCCCTGTCTGGGGTCGCCATCACCCACCTGAGATTGTTCTCCTTTGGGGAGGGAGGCGTGGGGAGGAGGAGGTGCCGAGATGCAGAGACCCCTGCGAGGCCCCATGGCCTGGCTGGTTCCTCTGTGAAAGAGGTGGCGCCCTTCCCCCTCCTGGAAACGCCTCGTTCAGGGCTTCTTGTCCCACCCAGCCCTCGGGGTTTCCTCCGGGCCCCCCCACCCAACCCGTGCTCTCTGCCTTCCCCTGTGCACTCTGCCTTCACTCTGGGAGCACGGCAGGTGGGGGTGGGGG